GAAAAGCTATCACATGAAATTTGTCATCTGATCCCATTTGTGATAAAACTGCACCCAAGGCTAAATCTAATGCATCTGTTTCCATAAAAAATGCCTTGAAAAAGTCAACACGATATAAGACTGGTGTAGAGACAAACGATGTCTTCAAGGCTTCAAATGCTGCTTCCGCTTCTTGATTCCATTGGAATTTATCTTTACTAGTCAAGCGTGTAAGTGGAGCTGCAACTCGTGAGAAATCTTTGATGAAGATCCGATAGTAATTGGCAAATCCCAAAAAACATTGGACATCTCTTACTGTCCTTGGAATCTTCCAATCCATGATTGTTTGGACTTTCTTAGAATCCATCATGAGACCATCATTTGAAATGATGTATCCTAAAAAGTCAACTTGAGTAGTGTAAAATACACACTTTTCTATCTTGGCGTACAATCCTGCATATCTAAGTTTTTGTAATACTTGACGAACATGTATTTCATGTTCTTCGACGTTCTTAGAATAGATCAAGATATCGTCTAAATAGCAGACGACAAAATTGTCTAAGAATTCACAAAATACATCATTCATGAGATGTTAAAAAGCAGCTGGTGCATTCGTGAGTCCAAAGGGCATGACATTATATTCAAAATGTCCATACCTGGTTCGAAACACAGTCTTCCATTCATCTCCTTTTTTAATCCGTACTAGATTATATGCTCCTCTTAGATCTAGTTTTGTATAGATCTTAGCTTGATTCAACTGGTCAAGGAGTCCTGATATCAAAGGTAATGGATACCTGTTCTTGATTGTGATCTTGTTGAGTCCTCGATAATCAACACACATTCGTAAAGATCCATCTTTTTTCTTATGAATAGAATTGGAGCTCCTGTTGGAGATTTTGAATGGCGTATGAAATTCTTCGCTAAATTCTCGTCAATATATGTCTTGAGTTTAGCCAACTCATCTTGCGATAAACTGTAAATTGGTCCAAATGGTGGCTGAGTTCCTTCCTTGAAGTCGATTGACCAATCATATGAGCGATGCTCAGGAAGAATATCTGCATTCTTTTTCTCAAAAACGTCTTGATACTCCTGATATTGACTTGGAATGCCACTTGAAGTCTTTACGTTTTCAGAAATATGTGCAACATAAATAGCAAAAGTTGATCCTTCTTTTGCTGCGTGTATAAATGCTTTTGCACCTATCAGTATGGGTTTTACTATACTAGACTTATAATTTTTTACTTGGTTGGTAGAACTATTAATAACACTCTGGGAAAAGTCAAGTTTACGAGAATTCCAATCTATTCGAGGGTTATATTTTTCTAGTCAGGATAAACCTAAAATAATTGGATTGGACGGGGATTTAATTATGTTAAAAGCTATGTAGCTATCATGACCGTCTATTGTTACTTTTATAGGATGAGTTTGATGAGTGACATCTCCAGAAGACAAGGGACGACCATCTATGACTTCTACATGTACTGGTTTAAGTTTCTATATAAAAGGTATTTTACGACTTTTAACAAATTGTTCATCTAAAAAACATGCTGAGGCTCCCGAATCTAATAAAGCAGAGGCTTTGTAATTCTTAGGTCCTAAATATAAGTCTATTATAAAACAAGAAGAGAGTTCTGAGGAGAGGATAAGACCTTCATTAGAAATTGTACAAGGTTCCAGCTGCACGGTCCCTATTGTAGCTGGACGAATCCGTTTTCCGACATGTTGTCTTCTTTGACCGTCGTACCCCTCATTTTATAGTTGCGTCGTTTCTTTGAACAATGTTGAGCAGTGTGCTTAGGTTCTCCGCAATATAAACATAATCCTTCTTGACGACGACGAATCTTTTCTTGCTCAGATAGGGGTTTAAAACGTACCGCGTCAATTTGCATGTCTTCTACTTTCGAATGTACGTTTGGCAAAGATGTTATGTTGCCATTGAGTAATAACGTTGAGGTTCCCATGAATGATTTTTGGATCGAAATTTGAAAAGTCGATTATCACATTTTACCGCAAAATCGATTGCTTGACTCAAAGTTTGAGGATCAGGTAAGTTGAGCATCAATTTCTTTACTTCGTATTGCAATCCATAAAGAAATTGACTGATGAGTGCAGCATCATCCCACTTGATGTCAATTGCAAGTTGTCGAAATTGTGAAGCATACACTGTTACAGAGCGATTTCTTTGTCGCAGAATTCGGATCTTATTTGTTGCAACACGAGTTGCATCGTGTTCACCATACATAGATCAAAACTCTGCCAAAAAAGCTTCCAAATTGTCCAATATTGGATTTCGTTGTTCAAGAAAAGACGAAAACCACGATAATGCAGAACCAGAAAGTAGAGTGCCAATAAACCTGACTTGTGATCCTGGAGTTGGATAGCTTTGCGGTTGAAGTTCAATTGCCAATTGTACTTGATTGATGAACCCTCGAAACTTTGATCTCGTACCATCAAATTTCTCGGGTAAGGCAATTCTTGGTTCTCTAGTGCTTACAGGGTGTTGTACAATTGGGGAAGGAACATGATTTGTTGTAGATGTTGAAGCAGCTCCGATCATCTCTATATCCCCACTTTCTGCTATTCTTGTTCTTTCCTGTGTTGGTGAATTGAGTTGATGCATCGCAAGCATTAACTCCCTCATTTGCTCTTGCATTTGTGCCATTGCACTCTTCATTTCAACAAGCTCTGCCATAATGACACTAAGAAGAAAAATTTGTTTGATACTGCTCAAGACAAAAGAAAAGAAAGACTTGATAACAAAGAAGATACTAAGAACAATATCAGTTTAGAAGTGGGTAATCCGCAAACTTCTAATACGCTTATGTTTTGTCAAGAGAAAGGGGTAATCCACTCTTACTCAAGAAAAACAAAGCTCTGATATTGTAAGTGTAATCTTGTCAATCTGTCAAGGACAAAGACTCGATGAGGGAAAATATACACAAAAAGGCTATCTCGATATAATAAGTCAAAATATAAACAAGTATGTATATTAAAAGGAAACTGGAATGGCTATTGTCACAAGACAAGAAACTAAAGACTCTTGAACCTGGACTAGGAACAAGAAAGGAGTTGACAAGAGTGAAGAAGCCTTCACTCTTGTCTCTATATATACTATCTAACTAGGGGCTACGTGATGACGTTCTATAGGACCTCCAATATGTGTTGACTTTGTAGGACACATGCCTTGACTTACAAGGCAAGTTTTTCTACGTGTGGGCCACATAGTTAGCTTGATCTTCAAGCTAACAACATGTGTGGCACATGGCCAACTTGTTGACCACATTTCTAATCCAAAAAATCAATTAAAGACACCTATGAAGTCAAAGCAGCGTCTAGGAAGTTTCTAGGAAGCTTTCATATTATATATTATAGAATTTACTTACTTTTATCTACTTTTACTTACTTCTACCTATTTCTATATGTAATTATTAGCTTACATGATTATGGCCGTGACACTAAGTTTGTTTTGTGTTATATTGAAAGTCTCTTAAATCATAAGTTTCTAAAGAAAACTTAATTCTTATAGTAAACTATTCTTTGCAATCATTTTTTGTAAAATTTGTTAAACTGCCTATATCTTTTAAAAAAATAATTTTCTTTCAAAACATCGATCTACATCTTGTAAATGTGGTCTTTAACTTTAGAATTATTTAAATATCTTGAAATTATCTTATGATTCAATTTTATTGGCATACTTTGTCTTAATTATATTTTGATTTTTATTAGAAGCTAGTTGAAAAGAGCCATATGTGTTTTTATTTTATATATATATATATATATTTTTTCTTTGACTTAGTAAAAGGCAAGAATTCAAATTAATAAATGAGAAGGACTTAATTCTATTAACATATTCAAATCATATTTTTAAATTAACATATCATTATATGTGTTTAAATCCTTATTTTTCTTAAAATTGAGGTTTGTTTATTGATGATAATTAAGCCAATCTTATCCAAATGTTTTTCTATTCTTTGCTCTATTCTTATATTTTATATTATAAAACTATCTTTATCTTATTGTTTGATATTATACTATACACTTGGATTGCCTTTGCTTGGATTGCATCCTAAGCCATCTTCTTTTGAGCCTAATATAGCTTGATTCACCATAATTTTTAAATATATTTTCAAATAAAAATTTATCTTTCTAATATTTTTTAATGTATTATTTTGCCTTTAGTTTTTCTAAATAACTGAATGAATTGTTGTTCAAAAGTGTCTTCAAAAAGTTTTCTACTAATAAAACAATCAACCATTACTTAAATAGACAAATATTCTAAGCATGAATTACATCTTTATCCACTTTTACCATTGGATATATTATTTAAATTATAAAACCAACATAGTTGTGCCCATGACCATGTGAGAATTTCTTGCTAAATGAAACTTTTGTAAGTTGTGGCTTCTTGCTTTTAATATATACTAATAGGAATTTAGGCATTATCACTTCCTTCTATAACATTAAATTTGTATCTTCCATTTTATATTTTTGTTTCTCTAATCATAAAATCTTTCTCTTGATTGAAGACACACTTCTAGCCGCAATTACATACAGCCCTCTTAAGACCACTAGCTTGAAACCCTGAAGAGCAAATCTAAAAACAAAAATAAAATAGATTGTTGATCTCTAAACTAGTTATTGCTTGCAATTCTTAAAGAAGATTTCCTCCTCAACATAGCTAAAGCCATGCTAGGTAAGATTTGTAATATGGTACCTTCTCAAATCCAAAACCTAAAAGTAAGCGAAATTTCAAACTTTTAAAATATTTAAGTTATCAGTAACAATAAGTATACATGAAACCTCATCCAAATCTCATATCTATCCATCTTTTATTTGGACATTTGGTTTTGGCTTTCAATTGAAGATCAAATAGTACACCAACATTATTAGCCAGGATGCATACAACTGAGCACACAGAACAAGATGACTTCAGTCTCAAAAGAAAAGGAAACACACCTTCAATGTATCCGTGAGTTATACCATTCACTGACATCCATCGGCTCCACAAGATGTTTTCACAATGTGTCGCAAACTACGTGTCCAAAATTGGACAAAAGCAAATGATTAATGATAACAACAATAATAATAATACATGTCTCCGTTAACTTGTTTCCAAAAAATCAAGTGAAAGGCAGAACAACACCTGCAATAGTCACAGCATTGCACGCGCTTCAGATCACTGTCTCACTGAAGGTCAAAATCTAAAATATCTCATGTTTGTTGAAAAGTCTTTCTCACACCACATTGCATACAGATGGAAGAACACTTTCAGACAGGATACATCTATAGTGTGGTCAAAAACTGCCTTCCGCTTCTCAGTCCTTGCATATCTCGGGCATTAGTGCAGGTGATCGTCTTTCCAAAGGCAAGAATATGTCCATAGATTGCCATTTGTGTTTGGAAGAAACTCTCTCAGAGAGTGATTCTTCACCGTGCCTGGTCAGTCCCCGGAGTACGCATCTCTACATATTTGTCCCGGCAGCTATGGGAGGGCGATGAAGTTAGGAGCCGTGAAATGGAACTCGATCAGAGAGTCATCGGAATAGTGCTTAAATAATTCGATTCCTGATGTCCTCGAGCTTCTTCAAAACTTCACCTGGGGTTCGATCAAGGTCGTCAGCAATCTTTCTTTGCAACTCGGATGTAAGCATTGGATACTGCTCACATAGATCTCCATCAATTACATCCTGCAACAACCGTGTAAATAATAAACACCAAAAACCAGTCTTCATTAGGCGAGCAATCCACAACATCACTAATCGTTTACTTCAAGAGGAAGTCAAACCTAGAACGAATGCGTTCAAACATCCTGCAGAAGATTCCATACAGCCCTTTCTACTTAGAAGTAGCATTGACAAGAAAGGGGTAACAAACCTTGACAGGGAAATATGCAGATCGAAATGCCATGTGATCACGACCACACAAAGGTGGATTCTCTTGTCGCAAGTGCATCTCAAGATGAGAGAAGAAGTCCACATCTTCACGGGATGAAAATGGCAACAGAGCTCCCACGCTTCCCATGATAGTGCCGTAGAGCACACTTTCTCCTCCGCCTGGAATGAGAGATGCTTTTTGCAAGCTTGTGACTACTTCTCCAACATGAAACTGGATAATCTCCTCAACCTTGTTTGGCGCCCCATTCAATCGACCTTGCTCCCATTTAATTTTACCTCCAGTAGGGTCATCTTCTATCTCCTCTGAAACATCTTGAGGTAATCGCATGACGTAAACATTACCAAACTTGTCCGCTCCAGCCATAGTGTCAAAATCGATATGAAGTGACGCAGTCAACCACCGCGGGCAGCTATCATCCGCAAAAGTGTACAGCTGATTTTCGTCCCGTCGGTATTTAACATAATGGAATGACTGCATTAAGAAGAACAATGATCAGGATAACGTGTACCCTTCTGGCCCGCAGTGACAATGCCAATTATGGAAATAGAACATGTTCCAATGACTTATAACTACTTCACAAATGCAGGGCTTCCATACTCCAGTAAACTGCCAGCAAAAACCCTGGATGATTGCTTTCATACGAAGTGTACTTAGACGCCTGATCCGAAGAAAGAGATAATTCAAAGCGACACATACCTCTTGTATATCACCAACATATATTCTGTCGCCATATGTGTGGATAGCGATAATTGTGTTCGGAAAATTTTTGTTCTCACACTTACGCAGCAACTTTCTTTTTCCAAGATCGTATATTCTCAACACTTGACCTACCCCAACCAGAAGACGACCTTGGAACTGACACAGAGCTGTAGGAACCCCATCCACGGGAGTCTTATGCACAAGTTCAAGGATCCTCCCTTCTTCTACAAACCTATAAATGTGTATAAAGCCACCAGATGACTCTTTCTTTGGCATAAACTGCATATTCTTAGCGGTTCCAACAGCTATAAGAGTCCCCAATTCCTTGTTATCATGAAAATTAACAGCGCATAGGCTGAAGGCTGCTTCATTTTCTTGCAACTCCAGAAGGCAAGTGGTTGTGCTCGTCTTTGGATCCAATACTCGAATGCAAGACGCCCACTTGTTCGACTCTGCTTTTGGATAGCCATATTGCTCATCAGGAAGAGGATCCTCGTTCTCCCCGTCAGCCATTTCTTCATCCTCTCCATTTGCTTTCTCATCATCGCGACCACCTGTATCAATGATTCAAAGAAATCCGTTTCAGAGATACAAGATTTCCACAACATCGCTTCCACATACAACAAGCATGCCAGCAGAGAATATGAAATGTGTTGTAAAGCAGAAATTAGGCACACAAAAACAAATAACAAAAGTGGTATATTACTGATTTGAAATAACATAAATGTTGAAACAGAGAAAGAGCAGCATATAATCCGCCCGAAGTCGTCTGGCAGCCACAAAGACGGAAATAGCCGTTCCTCTACCAAAAAGGAACCTAACCCATTAATAAATACCGCATAACAACCTTCACTCCCATGAGGCTTGAATGGAGAGATAGATATGCACCACTCACCTGTAGCCTTCACTGCTTCCTTTTTATTAGCTTCCCGCTCCTCTGTACTAAAAGCACCTAGATCACTCTCGAGAATAATGAGAGATTTCTGTTTGGGATGAAGAATGAACTTGCGAGGGGTATACCGGAGGGGCACAACTGTTTGATTGAATGTCTCGCCAAGTCTCTCGATAGTAAATACGCGAAGCGCATCTCCAGCCACTGCCACGACACCTTCTGCGCACTGATCTGAGGAAAAAGATGCAGCATACTCCAAGGTTTCATACGACAACGGCGTCAATAAGAAATGGCCTTGATGAATATAACCAAGCCAAGGTCTGCTCGAAAGACATAACATCGCCCGCCTCCCCCTAACTCGAGCCGAGAAGAGCTTGGGGGCTCGCAGACCTAAAAATCGGGTACGTGTGTCTGATAGCTGTCCAGTCACCATATCTACTTCGGTCCTGAGCAGCACTCCATTCTGTAACCCAGCATTAAGAAAGACGCTCGCTGGGTGATCTGCACCATCTTCACCTCCTGTCGAAGCCTGCACTTCAAGAAGGAGGAGCGATTCCGGTGGAGATGAGACTGCTTGAACACTCAAAATCTGCATACAATCATCTGGATCCAGGGACAGGATCCGAATGGTGCTGTCATATGAACCAACAGCTAAGAACCGTGACCGCTGACGGCCTTCAGGCACAGGCGCAATGTGGAGGCAAGCAACATCTCCCGTCATGTCCCGCTTCTCAATTTCCATCAGCTGACCTGACATGTCCATCTCAAAGTAAATAAGCTCCCCCCCACTGAGGGCAATAACCACCTGCATTCGATTGTATCCAACTTTCACGATGGTCTTCTTTCCAGGTGTTTTCCACTCGTTGATACGCCCATCGGCCCTGATATGACGAATACCACTTGGGTGCACTTGCATAAGTGAGTCGTCACCCAGAAGAGAGATTGCTAAGGAAGGAGTCGTGTCCAAGAAACCACTGTCACTTACTTCCTCAACGGTTTCCCCAATAGAAAGAACCAAAGTAGCGTTCACAAAGGACACCACAATGTAAGCATCGAACTCATCATTGGCATGCTTCTTAACGGTCCACACGGCACTGGGCACTCCAGGAAGCGGAGACACGGCCATTTCTGTCACTGCAAGACCGGGGCGTAGTATGCGAAGAGATGACCTGGGACCCCTGCCGCACAAGGAAAAGATCTGTGGAGTTTCCTCTTCAAAAATATTGGCCACTTTCATGTCCATAATGGGCATCAAACTCTCAATATCATCAATCTGTACCAAATTCTTAAGTTTCCTGGGCTGGAAGAAAATAGGCTGATAACCCTCTTCAGTTTCCACAAGAGTGGAAGACGATGACTCCACCTCCGGTTCTTCACCAATACTTTGGAATTGATACAAAGAATGATTTCCGAATTCCGAAGCAGCGAATAGGAAACCAGATTTCAAAACGCACATTGCAGAGGTCACGGGGATGGTGTCAAAGTACTTAATCTTCAGCTCGGTCACTTGATCATCCTTGTCGTAGTCCAAGGTGACTTTAAAAATGTCACCATATTCGGTCTGCAACAAGAAGAAGAACAGAGCTTTCTGCTTGTGAGTGGCAGCGGAAACGATCAATACTCCTCTATTCGGAGGTAGGTCCTGCCTCCGTGGAATAACTGCACGAATATCAGGCTGATTTTGATTCTTGTAAATAACAAAATTTTCTGCACAAACGAGCACCCCGCTCGGTCCATCCCCACCACCAGGTACTGTAACTAGCATATTAGCTCCATTATCAATAGGTTCTGTCCATTTCCGAACAACGTGGTTAAGCCCTAAATCGAGCTCATAAAACGTCAAGTGCTTCTGCGCTTCGTTTGCGGCCTGCCCTGTCGAGTCCTGGTCTGCCTCGGAGTAATCTAGCTCAATGGCAGCGAAGATAGGGTTATCAAAGCCACAATCAACACCCGTGATGGAATAAACTATGGTATGCGATTTGTGAGCCTCTAAGGGGGACGAAATTGTGAGGCGCGCAGCATTATCGCGGTTCAGCACATAAACCAGCTTCTGCTTTTCGCAAGCACCGATCATTACAGCACGTCCCTTGGGGTCTACAGCCAAATATTGCCCAGGTACAATCCTCCGACATCCTGACTTCCCAAATGTCTCCTGGTGCACCTTTTCAAAGATGTTTTTCTCTTTGTTATACTCAAGGATCACTATGCGACCTGAGTCGGAGCCTACGACAATATAATCCTTCTGGGAACCAGTGAGGCGGAATTGCGCAAGAGACCGTATGGCTCCAAATATTTCCACTGAGAGCAGCGTCTGCAATTTCCCATTGTCATCAGGTCGCAGCAAGTCCAGCACCTTACCTCTAGCTACCACAATCTCCTGGCTCTTGCCACCCGTGAAATTGCCATATGTTGCACACACTATTCCCGTTGCCGGTTGCAACGTCAAATTATACAAAAACATCCTTCGATGCTTCCCTCAAGGCCCTACTTCGGCTTCCCGTTGCACCTCACCACTACACCTGAATCAAGCGACAAACAGAATGCTCGCGTTGCTAAACCCCACGCAATGCTAAACCCTACCCTACTACTGCGACTTTCGATTGATTAACTACCTGACCAGGTTATGACGCAAGTGGTCCTGGACCCACAACCGTAAAAAAACCTGCAAACTTCGAAACAACTAAAATTCCAGAGCGTTTGAATGCCGTAGAAACACTGTGTCGATCATAAGTGGCCCACGAGAGCAAGTCAGATCGTCACTCACGGTCAGCGACAGCGTTAGTCTGCGGCACCACGCGTCTGACGGCGTCCACCGCTATCTGCCATCCCACCGTCTTGGCTCCTTCCCTTTTCTTTCCTATTACCACCACAACCCCCATCCTTTGTTCAAAATCTTTTAAATCAATCAACAAAAAAATTAGTTCAATATGTTTTAAATCATATGATTGAATAATTTTTTTGATTGAAGTAAAAAACATTTTCTAAGTAATTAATTCATCAAAAACTAATAAGTTCCCATAATTAATCAGAATTTTGGAAATCGATTCCATTTTAGAGTGCATAATTAGCAATCCTTGACTATTCATAGTTATTTGATCATTATTGAATTTTATTGGCTAAAAAAGGTAATTAATAGAGGTCATGTGATTGACAAGGCCACAAGACTATACATGATTTGGTATGTAGGGCCCTGGCAAGGGTGATTATCATCCTACCTTTAATGTGCCACCTTTGATGATTTATAATCTCTCATTATTAATGCTTTTTTCTTGCAACACATGACAAAATATTTACATGCCAAATTAATAATAAAGAAGACTTACTCACATCAAAGGCCAATTTATTTTTGGAATAAGCACCTAAATTTTTGTGGCAACGGGGTCATGATGCAAAACATTTTAATCCATTTTACTAAGATTTAATAATGCATACATGTATAAATACAAAGAGAACATGGGAATGAAGGACTTTTGTTTTTGTTTTTGTTTTTTTTTTAAAAGTGATCAAGTGCAAAACTTCTTTGGTGTATTTAAAAGTCCTAAGAAATCTTGTAAACAAACAGGAAGAATACCAATGCAATACAATGAATTGATATAATACAAGTCACAAATTCTTGGTATCAGTGTTTCTGTAAATTTAGGTATAAAATTTTATTCAAATGTTTGAAAAAGTCAAAATAATGATTTAGGCCACTATACTGAACAATTTTATGTTGAAAAAATTACAAAAATAAATTCCTAATTGAACTAAGTTTCCTTAGAAATTGTTGTGAAAAATTGGCATTGATTTTTTCACGACGTGATAGAAAATGGCTGACACCCATTTCAGTTTCCCACTCGATTTTATTCAAATATTTGAATATTTCTATTAAAGGATATACAAGTGAAGGGCTTTCCACTATTGCCTGGTTCTCTTGACAAGTGCGACAAGTGTTCCATGTGGTTGTTCCCCCTTTGGGGACGTGGGAACACGAAAGGGATGCATTCACACCGGCGAGTTGGTGTTCCAGTATGCAATCAATCAATCGACGGCGCAATCTGGCATCAGGGTCCAGAAGCATTGAAGTTACCAGCAACCTGATCTTGGCTATGGTGGGTTAGGGCTTCTATTCTACCCCTCTTTCTTCTTCTCGGTCTAACCCATTTGTGTGCCCATCGTGCGATAATTGGCGTTGTCGATTTTAATTGCGCGTGTCCCGTGTATGCCTTCTTTTCTTCTCGTTGTTTTGCCGTTTTGGTTTTGTTCTGTCGGCTACCGCACTTCAAATCAACTCTCGGGACAAATCAAAGCAGAATAGTGTGGTCATGCAGCTGATTTCCCTGTGTTATGTTTTCTGGGTGTGATGTTGATGTGGTTAGAGTTTGCTGCACTTGCGCAGAGTTTATTGTGCCCTTGAGGAAGGTAGCGGGCGCTGAGGATGCGGGATCCCGAATCGCAGATAGCAGAGCAAGGAGAGTATATCTCTGAGTGTGCGGTTAATCTAGAGGGTTCACACTCACAGCGAGGACTTGACGACGATTTCAGGACTGTGCGGAGATTGGAAAAGCAGAGGAAACGAGGTGGGACTGAAGACCGGATTTGAACTGGGGGAGGAGAAAGGATTCTTGAGAGGCTGTGTTGACATCCGGAACGCCGCCTTGCAGAAGCATTCTGTAGCGTTCCCACCTTAGAGCTCAGCGAATCGTTCGTGCAACTCCAGGTTCACTGTCTTCAGAATCCTCAGGTCGAGAGGCTCCAAGATTCGCTTGATTCTTTACGAGCTAAATTGCATCTTTTAATATCCATACCGCCAAGTCAACTCGATTACAAGGGTTTGGCTATGGTGAAGCACGCAGAGAGGTCGCTATTTTGAACGGAGGATGTTCCTTTGTTAGTTCACATTTAGAAAACTGTTAAGAGCACGGCGTCTGCCGTTCGGAAAGATCCATGGCACAAGTTAACAGGACTTCGGCTACTGCAACTGAGACCTTGCAATTGCACGAACCAAGCACGTCCGAGCATCCTCCACAGGTACAGACATTGACTTTACGAGTGGCACCTCAAACGAAGAAGAAAGTTTCTTGGAGAGAAGACACCGTTGATAATGAACACATGATGAAGAAAAAGTCCAAAATATGCTGCATATTTCATAAGGATGATGATTGTGACAGCGATGACGGAGATGATAGTGGAGACAAGGGGAAGGGTAAGGATCATGATCATGATCATCACCATGAATGTAATCATTTCCATGATGACGCCAATGGCTCAGAACAGCTCCCTGAACACGGTTCAACGTCCAGTTCGTAGATAGCGCAGCAAAACAATCTGACAAAGTGTTTGCTTGGGGTGTTGCCGAGTTTGTGAAGCGGTTCAGTTGAAGAAGTTGAATGGAACCGGCCATTGAAGCAATTGAGACCACATTGGTGAACCCTCCGATAAATGCAGGGTCGTATACGATTGACAGTCTGCGTGACCATTGTATACGACCCTTTTGCTGCTGACAGTTTCTTCATCCTTGGACTAGGTTGTAGGATGTAGAATTTTCCTGTGGATCCGCCAGAGTATATTGACACTGGGAATTGATGGATTCTGGGTTCCCCCTTCCCAAGGGTTTTGCAAAAGGATGGAGGTAGGCCAGGCAATTCTGAGCGGCTTGAGAGCCGATGGGACTTGCAGATCGGTAATTTGCCACATCCTTATAGTTTGGATAAGTAGCCTATCTATGAAGGTTTTGTTTTTCTTGAACCTCTCGTATGTCGTTAATTGGATGTCTAACAGTATATCATGGTTTGAATGATGCGAGCCTGTCTTTGAGCTCAAACTGTGGCTAAGATGACACTAAAAATTATGAGGATTCCAAGGGTTGTTAAGCATATGTCCGTGATTTAAAAAAATAAAAATAAAAATAAATCATGTATGGCATATGTCTCAGTTTCCTTAGTAGGAACCGACTTTTCATTATGATACATCATTTGCTTGAGTCGGTCAGTGAGTACTGAGAACAGTTGAAAGGCCACACATTATGGTATTTAGGTGACTTCAGATCCATTCCAAATTTCTAACCATCAACTTTGCTTTTCTTTTTTCTTTTTCCTTTTAGGTTTTCTGCATCATTATCTTGTATAACGCAATTTCGATGAGTTAATAAATACTGGAGTTGTCCGTAAACTCCGACAGCATTCCTTTCATAATTGCCTCCTTTAGAATGGCGATCGTTTCCTGTCTTGTCTATTAGATAATTGACAGCTTCACCTGCCTATGTGTCATGGATCTCCATTCCTTTCTAGACTTGGAGACAAACCTTACCCAAATGCTTACTTTCTCATAGAAATGGACCAGACCAGGAAGCAGTATCAACAGGTTTAGAACATTGCACTGATGAAAGCCTTAGCTCTCACTTTTGCTGTCACATCCATCCTCCATCACCGCACTGTAGGGCTCTTCAGTTTGATGGAATAGGTATAGTTGCATTGTTCAGCATTCCTAATTTTCGTTAAGTCTTTCAACATAGCAGTTTAGATACTTCATCTTGTATGCAGAAATGGTAGTTCATAATTCATCGGGTATTTCCCTACATGCGAAATCCTGCAGATGGCCAAAAGCTGTAGATCCACTGGCACCGACACTGTATGGATAGTGGATTCCTTTTATTAGGGAGTGATAGAACTGTCTGGAAGGATAGACACCTGTCAGTAATGTGTAGATATTTCTTCTTTGGTGACTTGATTGACTCTGCGGTCTAAAGAGACTAGGTCACGGTCTTCATCACAATCCTTGAGGGTCATGGCTTAGAATCATTGATGAACAAAGATGACATTTTCATGGATACCTGGGTTCAATGCCTTTGAAAATCTGAACCCTAGAGATTAAGCTCTTACTTTCCCAGAGTGTGTTCCTCCTGACTTAGGGTGTAATAAGAATCTTGATTCTTCTTTTTAAATTTAAATTTTGGTTGTAATATTTTTAGTTTTAGAAGAGAATATGGCGAAAATGATGATGTTTTTAAACCTCTAAAGACGCGTTACTTGAGAAATTGGTTACAAAACTCAAGTCTTTTTTGATATATATACACATACACACACATTAATATAGATTGTATTCTAAGAAATCACGTTGAAACAACGTGGAGAGGTAGGAGACCCAAAAGTTGCAACGCGCTCATAGGGGGCACCGTGGAGAAGTGACCCGAATCCAACCGTGATGGCACACGACGTGGAATGCGGGCGCCGGAGCCCGCGGGGGAAGGGGACACATGTCGCCAGGTCCTTGCAGCGGGGGCGTCCCAATCCATGCGTTGTCATGATCTTTTTGTAGAAAAGTGGATGCTCTCTCATTTTGTCTTTCCGGTTCTGAGTTGCGCCGTGCTGTGGGATTCAATCCCCATCAATCCTACGCCCCCCCCGCCCCTCCGCCCCTCCGTCCCCCTCGTCGTTGCTTTGCTTTGCTTTGCCATCTTCCAGAACCTTTAATTCGTCTAAAAGCAGGCTGTGCTTGTGTACTGGGTTTTGCCCTGCCTCGCCTTCTTAGTCCTCCGCTTGGCCACTCTCTTCTTTTCACCTTCAAGCTGTTCAGGAACTTCTTCTCTCTGTGAGTCGTGACCAGGAGCGCCGTTTCTTGACTTGAGTGAGTGAGTGAGCTGCACACGTTAGCTTTTGTGTTTCTAGAATCCGCGTCGAAGGACGGATTTGGAGTTGTTACTCAACTTGGATCGGTCGTTCCAGTGAGTCTGCCTTTGAGAGCCATGTCGAATTACATGACTGAGGTGAGCTTCTCGTGTGATGGGTTGTTTCCCTTGCTGCCCTTACCGGCTTGCACATGTTCGGGGTTGTTGTTTCATCGTTCTTGTTTGCCCGTGAGGTAAAGCAGTTTCAATGATTTTTGATGACGAGTGCAACTTCGTGGGGGATTTTTTTGGGGTGTAGATTGGTGTTGTTGCTTGTCCAACGAGTACTCTTTTCTCCGTACTCTTTTTTCTGTTATCTTCTCCTTGTAGCTAGCTACAGTTGGGCTGGGTAGACTACAGGCTCTGAGGATGGAAATTATAATGTGCTCGTGGATCCCAATGTCCAGCCTGAAAGCATTTTGCGCGCTTCTTAGTGACTAATTTACTTTGGACGAACATTTAGTTAAGGTGTTTATTTATTTATTTATATTTATACTTATTTTATTTACCGACTATGGGAATAGGAGACTTTCTGCAGTGGAGTGACTTTAGTGACGGAGTGGTGTGTTTGCTCATTCACAGCTGTTTTATGGCAAGCCGGAGCCCGTCTGGGTGATTAACAACCGGCGACGAATGGGGGTTGCCGGAGATGCGTACTACCCCCCCGGCATGACCTCAAGGGGTTATGTTGGTCCGGAATATGCAGCGGACAACGCTCGCGGCACTTCGCTCTTGCCGGTAACTGTTTTTTGAAATGCAACTTTTATTTCACCCAACATTGCAACTTTTGATATATGCTGGATGTTAGTAACGGTATAGCTTGTGGATCTGCAACTTTAATTCTTCCTCACCTTTTTCTACTGCAACGAGATGTGCAACAGTGTCAAATTAATCTCTTTATTTCTGGTTTCACAGGAGGTGACTGTTAAGACCCCCATCTATGGCATGTCAGACACTGCTCGAATCAAACATGTATTGGCTGCCGAAGGTAAATTGAGAGACTCCTCTTGTCTTCATATCTTTCTTAAACAGAATTCAAGTTCTCGGTCTATGATCTGGTCACCAAATCTGACTGTGTCTTGTGATCTTTGGTGTGATAGGCGTCTTCAACGTGGTTTGCGACATTCCACAGCAAACAGTCAAAGTGCAGTCCAACCTCTCTCCACGAATGCTCGTGGGACTGATCCGTCAGGTGACAGGAAGCGCCCATGTGATCAACTACGTGGACCCTCTGCAGCCGACTTTCGAAACAACTCAAGATAGGGTGAGATATGCATACGATGATTCATACTCGTACGATGGTCGCACAGGTTACGCTCCTGCTTACAGCGCTCCATATAACGGCAGATCCTACGACAATGAGTTTCGTCCGGGTGGCTATGCTCGATATGGAGGGAACTACTACTGAGCGATCAGGGATTTTGTCACCTGACAAAGACATTACAATTGTATGTATGTAGCCGCATCTAGAAACAGACATGGTGTGCACCTGGGCACTCACCTGCCCCTTCAAGGGACCGATAGTAAGCTCATGTGTTAAAATTCTGGGCTGTTTTTCGAAGTGAGGTCTGTGTTAGTTTCAGCCCCACATTGGGGTCCAACTTCAGTGTTCACTTGAAATAGGACATTATTAGGTGTGCCCCGTGATCCCGTCAAGATATGACAACTTGGGCAACTCTGCGACACATTTACTAAGTCACAGGAATGGGAAGTAGGAACATATATTAAGACTAGATTTGAATTTTTGGTTGTATATGGCCTTTTGGTATGGTGATGCTCTTTGAGTAAACTGTAAACGAAGGTGACTGAAATAGTTCATTTTGGTCTTTTTTGTCGAGAACACTAGTCTTCTTGAGCGTGTTCAATGTTGCGAAGATCATCCGCATTAAATCTAATCCAAAGTAAGGATTAATTCTTCTCCGCTGCTTTGGAAAATGCTTTAAGATTCGGTTTAAGAACAGCAGGCTTACCTGGCACTAACGATAATGATAACTGCAACTCGTATATATGTAGATGATTATTACCACTACCCACCTTGGGTCGGCAATTCTGTTCCGAACGCATGCGTCTGCAGACCGAAATTTCTCACAGACGATGTCCGTAATCGAAGAGACATAGACATTGAAAGGGGCGTCCTTGTCGCCAGGGCTGGGGTCCGGTGCAGTAGAGTCCTCGCCCAAACCAATCTCGACGACAAGCATACAAACAATACCTTGACCTAACTTCGTTGCACATAAAACCTTATGCAAGATGTATAATAAAACTATTTGCAAGTTGAATTTCGACTGAAATAAATTAGACACACAGGTTATCGGCCATCAGCAGTTGTGTGAAAAGTTTGATAATCTCTTTTGAAATACATTCTTTTAAATAGTCGACAACCTCCTCGAGCAGTCAAAGCATCCCAGTAGCTTAACAGATAGCTCACTCTTAAACTAAAAACCTCAGCATACCCGGATCACTGCGTGCAACTCTTAAGACGAACCAATCTATGAGCAATCGAAAGTTTAAAAAACCTGATAACTTAATCCCTTGAGCGGGGCACTACAACGCTACAAATTTCAGCTCCAGTAGCTTGCGAACAAAGAATCTACCCTGAAAAATACTGACAATTCAGAAATGAGCAAGGCTGTATACTAAAGTCCAAGCGAGCAAAAACAGTGTCATCGATGCGAATAAGCCCTCTTGCAGGAGGGCACCATCACCACCAAACTCCTCGGCATCCACCTTCAGATAAATTGAGTAAACGCCATAAATCGCTCCAGATGAAAGCGCAGCGAAAATAAGGATCCAGAGGAAACCCGTAAGAGGTATTGCACCCCACAAAACGCCGCAGACGAGTGCAATCGCTTGCCTGATCCAATGCAACACATCGCCTAGTTGATCCCGATCCCACGAGGCGTCCCCTTTGATCAGCTTCTGCAACCCGGATAAACTGGTGTCGCCATCCTGCTTCTCGGCCTTGAGGCCGTCAGACGATCCCATCTTCCCCGGCGTGCTATACCAACTGGGTCCGCTCCGACACAGAGTTAGATCACCTGAAAAATGCCCTAAAACCTCTGCACCCTGCACTCTTCCCTTAAAACCAGAAGGAAGAACTCTCCGGATGTACGCCGTCCGTGAAGCCTGGAATCTACAAATGGGTGGATTTCCTGGTAGAGAGGAAAAGATATGAGGCTATGGCTTATCCCTCCTCGTCGCCAATGCTTTCACAGTTCTTCTCTCTGTTGGTGGAGGCAGAGAGTTGAGCAATGGCTGCCGCGCTAATCACCGCATTACCTTGCCTTTTTCACAGCCGTCATGGTCGCTCGTCTGCCGTCATTGTAGCCAGGTCAGGCTCCTAAGTCTGATTATGTTATGTCGTTGTGAAATTAGAATGATAGTTAGGAAACAGGAGTGGAATTGGAATTATGTTTTAACCGTTCTGTCAACGGGTTGGTTTTGGTCTCTGGTGATTTGAAGTGAGTTTGGGTTTTTGATTGTATTCAGGAAGAAGGTCCCAACAAGGAGCTCTGGTGGGTGCTGGTTGCGGAATTTTTATGCTCCTGATGTGCATTCTTCGGAGTTGCGTGCACCTTGTACGCCGTTTGAATTCGATGCGTGCGTTGAGGGTGAAGCGGAGGTGAACGTATGCGCCTTGCTGATTCAGATTTTGGCAATTTCGAATTAGAGATTATCTGAAGATAAGAGTCATTTTTTTGTGTAGACATCAGAGATGTGCTGAATGAATATCAAAAGAACGAGATATATATCACGATCGGTCACATCTTTGAGATGCTACAGGAGCAGTTAATTATCGTGGAATCAAATTGCTAGGATATGTTGATACAAACTGGTGAGCAGAAGAATGTGCACTCGTTCTGGAGCTCATGGGATTAGAAAATTGAAATTCCTCTTCTGGAGCAGATATTTATGAAACCCTTTTCTCCTACAGTCTGTACAGGGTGGCACTGTATTGAAGGCAATGAGAGATGCTGGAGTCGGACTTTTAGCATCATTGGTTACCCTCGCTGCGAGTGTCCAGTCTCCTCTACCTGCTTTTGGCTTAGAAGGTACCCATGAAGCCTCTCAAGCTGGTCGTGTGTCTGTGGAAACAGCTAAGTACAATGTGGATGCTCCGTCTACAGCGGGAAAAAATTCGCTCTCCATAGCAACAAGCAATGATGAGACTGTGTCACTGGGTGTAGCTCCTGAGGATGTCACGTTACGGGATGAGTGTACTGAAGAAATTGCAAGTAGCGTGGTTCCCATGGAGGAGGCAGTGCAGGAGGTTCCTAATGAATCAGTTATCCAGGAAGCATGGCAAGTCGTGAATGAGAATTTTCTAGACGCTCGTCATAATTCTTGGTCTGCTGATGCGTGGCTGGTATCATCTCGTTTCCTTTCATGAATGTTCACTGTATCGTTACCAACCGCAACATATTTTATTTTATTTTTAGTTTAAGAAGAATTTATTGTGAAGATACATTCGGCCTATCGAGAAACGTGACCTTTATATGCTGGGGCATGTGTGCCTGATGAGCATAAGTTATTGTCCAGTACATCTGTTTCCCTCTCTATCGTGACCGGAATAACCCTCAGAATGATTATTTTAAATTAAGAGCATTTGCGATGGTAAGCACCTTTGTTGACGGGCATGCAACTCACGTTGAACATATTTTCTAAGACTAAAGTGGTCATCTTGATTGCAGAAAAAGAAACAGGAGGTATTGAAGAATCCGATTCGAAGCAGAATGGCAGCTTATGGATCTATCCGCAATATGTTGGCTAGTTTAGACGATCCCTTCACTCGCTTTCTTACTCCCGAGCAGGTGTGATATCAAAACTTCTTTTACCATTTGTATGCATGAGGACAAAGTCAATTATAAAGCTCGGTGTATTTTACGCTTATTTTCAGATGTTGTTTTCAAGGGTCCATGAACTTGCTGTCATCCTCAGTCAAAATCTTTGTAGTTCTTGTGGTGTCCTCTAATCAATGCAGTTGCGCGCGTTTGAAAGAACCTAAAGTAGTCAATGTCCATGTAGTTGGTTCGTTTACCAAATAGGTTTTTCCAATCAGTAAAAGTGATGTTGAGGCTGAAACTGTGCTGCTCACACTTGCAGGGGCATGTTTCCATGACAGTTTTTACAACTCTCGAAGTACGATGTGACTGGGATTGGTCTCAACATTGGAGAGTCAGCACCTGCTGCCGGTGAGCCAAACCTAAAAGTTATTGGCATTATTCTTGGGAGCCCAGCCCAGCTTGCTGGAGTCAGACAGGTATATCCTTGCCAATCATGTTATCCTGATAAGAAGCGTTAATGATCTACTATCACAATGTTTCCGTTTTTTGTACAAGCGCTTTCATTAATAGGTATGTGGATTTTTTTTTTTTTTTTTTTTTTTTTTTTTAAGATGATGGTACTTTTTAGAGAGCAGCTCAATCCAAATCTTTCAATTGCTACATAAAATTTACAAGATAAATGTACTAATCCATTTCTAAGGAATTTTATAGACTTGCGGACCTTTATGTTTAGCTTCTCAAGGAATTCTCCAAGAATTACCTCTATCTCTGAAAAACATTTGTGAAGAATATTGCGCATACCATGTGTATTCTTCTATGTGCATCCCACACGCTGCTGGTGTGATTCAGGGTGATGAATTGCTGGAAGTTGCTGGGAATAGCGTCACTGGTAAGACAGCTTTTGAAGCGGCATCGCTTATCCAAGGTCCAAAGGGCACGAAGGTTTCCCTAAAGGTTGTCTTTAATGCTGACTGCTGAAAGCTTGCATTTCTGTTACTGTCGATGCCCATTTATCACGTTGTCAGCATAAGGGATCACGTTTTACATTCTTGGGCGGCCTATGGGTTCCCGCATGGAGCTAAATGCCAGCGTCAGTACAATATGATCAGTTGTTATTGCATGTCATACAGGTTCGACATAATCGATGTTCTACTCCACAAGTTTTTGAATTGGAGCGTCAGCAAGACGTGCGATCACCAGTGTTTTATCGTTTAGAACGTGTTCCGGGTTCGAAAGAAATGACCGGTTTTATAAAGTTGAAGGAGTTTAATGCTCTTGCCAAGCGTGACCTCTTAACTGGTATGTTGTCTGTCATTTTGGCGATCCTAGATTTATACTTGACAGACGCGATCCGTTGGATTTATGTCTTCAACTTGGCAGTGTGTATCTGCACTCACGTAACAAGAAGTTTTGAAGTTTCCTAGTTGTAAAATATTGAAATGAGGGAAAAATGAGACCTTTCACCTACTTTGCAGCGATGAAGAGAATGCAAGATGCTGGTGCTACATCTTTTGTGCTGGATTTGAGAGACAATCCAGGGGGTCTCGTGCAGGTATTCTCATCCTCTAAAAACGTCCTGATGCAGTCAACTTTTTCGGAAATGCATATGTTCCTGTTTGAGCAATTGATTTTCAGTTATATATCCTTGTGCCTGTGTTCAGCGATAACAATTTACTGTTTGAGAGATGATTACGATAGGAATTGAACGGCGCATCCTCGATTAATTGTGGGACACCCTCTCTTTTTGGAAGCCATTGTTTCTCAACAGGACCTTCAAACATTTTGAATCGAGATTTCGTGCCTGACAGATCTAAGGAATTTAAGTTTAAGTTGTGACATCTCCTAAAATTTTTCGGTTTTTCGAGAGAATAATCTGTCCTTAGCAAGCAACACCAACCCCTTCATGCAAATAAAGAGGTGCAATTTCTGATTGTCTGAAATGCTACTTACTTTTCTTGCAGTTCATTTACGTTTTAGATTTTATGTGCAGGCTGGTATTGAGATCTCGAAACTTTTCCTGGATGAAGGTGAAACCGTAAGTGACTTTCCTCTTATGGAAATTCGTTGAATTTTTTTCCTTATCTCGTTGAACATTTGTGGTTTATCAGCTGTTCTCTTTTTCGGTGATTAGGGCTGTGGATCTTATCCTCTCAGATACTTTCTTGTACACTGTTGCTTAGGATGATATGATCTCATTTTGAGTGTAGAGATGTCTCTTAGAATGTATAGGTAATGTTACCTGCAAACATTTTTGAATCGTGCTATTCTTTCTGACCATCTTGATTGTGAGAAGTAATGCTATATTCTTTCTCATGTTTGTCCAGGTCATAGAAACCGTGGGACGAGAGGCAAAGGCTGTTCGAAATGTTATTGCTACAACTCCACCCGTAACAAATGCTCCCCTTACGGTAAACACTTGTGCATTTATCAAGCTATTCTTATGATTATGATTATTATTATTCTTCTTGAGTTAAAGCTGAATACCAAAGTCATCTGATGCAGATTTTAGTCAATGATCACACAGCTAGTGCAAGTGAGATCGTAAGTATCTGACTTATCCCTGAGCTCTTTCAATGTTGATTAGTTTTAGCACATTCTGTTGTCACAACCTGGGACTAGTCTAGAAGAAATGCATCATAGCTTTGTACAGTTTTTCAAACTTTTAGCCGAAGTAAATGTACCATTTGTTGCTGATGCTGTTTCGCATGCTGTTGTCAATGGAAGGTTGCTGCTGCTCTTCACGACAATTGCAGGGCAGTGCTAGTGGGCAAAAGAACTTTTGGCAAGGTGTGTTCCCAAGTAATTTTCTATTGTCATCCAATAGTTACTTAGAATTTTCCGTTTCAAATATCCTGTCGTTTACCGTACAAAGTTTCACTTCAAATATATTTCCATTGTGTATGAACGATGCCGTTTGTGAAAATGAAGGCACTAATTGAAGTGAGAAGTTCTTTGTGCTGATTATTCTGTTTGAGTGTTGGAATGCTGATTTGGCTTTGAATTATTACCCACAGGGTCTGATTCAGGCCGTATACGAACTGAGTGATGGATCTGGAGTCGTGTTGACAGTAGGAAAATATGTCACACCCGGTCACCAGGACATTGATGGTGTTGGAATTGAACCAGATTTCAACCAACTCCCTGGTAATAACTTTCCTTCTTCAGATTTTGTAGTTTTCATTGGATTAGTATTAATGAGTTGGGAAGCTTCAAAGTGGTAGTATGTTGTGGAAGGATGTACAGTAGTAACAATGATCCTCATTTGTGCTTTACCGGTGGCTCTCATACTTAACCTTTAATTACCTCTGACTAGACGTATGTCACACGCAGATTCCAATGAAGGACTGGGGAAGTTAGCTCAGTGCAAGATGATGAAGGCTTCTGCAAATTCTTCCTAAAATCCAACTTTGCCTTAGTCACGGAAAAGTTATAGAAACAAATTAATCTGGTTCAAAACAGGACAAGTTTGTAGAATCAACCATTTGATACGAGTTTTGTTCTTTACTCCTATTTGCACTTGGATATGATTGTGGTGCTTAATAACTGCGTGTTTGCTCTTTAGAATCTCAACTTATGGCCTTGTACCCGAGATAGAAAGTCTTGCTGCATAATGAAGTGGTTTGGTAGTAATGATTTTTTATTCGGCTCAATTTTGTGCCTTATTAGGTCATAAGGTACAACCCTCCTTTTTGTTGTGGTGGACAAGCAAAGAACAGAAACTGCTTCATGCGTTTCCTCCCAATTATTACAATTATCTCTTGGCTTCAATAAATGAGCCGGTAAATGGTAATTATAACTATTAGCTCACTCTTAAATGGTTTGCACGTACAGTATCAAACACATTTAGTGAAAAGTTTCTCACCGAACATCCAATCACCTGAAGGACAGCTCGTGAGGATTCGACCAGCTCCTTCTCATTGTATGCCGGTAAAATTTCCTGTAAAGATTCAGCCACTTTGAATCGAAAAATTAAATGTTAGGGTTATACACCTCATAAATTTCATTTTCTGAAACCGTTCATCTAGTTGGTGTAATCTTTAGCGACAAACGATCACAAATTCTCGTATTCTCGGAATACGAGAGTCCAGGCATGTGTATATTTTAAGACTATCAAACACTCCTGAATCAATGCCAAAGGCATGGTGCTCTCCGCCCTTGGGTGAATTGTTATGTATTCATTCAACATGACGATGCTGCTGCTCCGCTATGAAATTGTAGGCCTAGTGGCCGCTTGCATATCACCTGTTCCGTGGGAGTCCACGTGCATAACAAATTGAGAAAGGAATCGGGTTGCTTAACATGACCACCAGGACATGGCTTTATGGCCAGTCGAAAGGAAACGAAATAACCTCCTGCAACTGCTCTCTCCCGAACATCCTCGAACTTACACATTGCTTACAGCCACTCGAGGCTGTGATTGCCCACCAATTCAAATATGTGTGAGCAAAGTCTTTCTCCAAGTTCATGGATGCAGCTAGACATCGTATTGATTTCATCGAATCTTTATTCTTTAGGCAACAGGTAGCATGTAGGTCAAGTTCTGGTGGGGGTATCAGTGCTTGTCCGACCATGAAGGGTGTAGACGCTATGTTGAAGTTCTTCCCAGGAGATTTTGCACGTTGCGTTGAATATGAATCGTTGGAATCTCAGATTTTTCGATGATATTCTCCTCTGGGTCGTTTTTTCCTTTTTTGTTCTGCTCGGACTTCTTCTTGTGAACGTGCTGAAGGGCTGGAAATCGCTGTTCTTGTTTGATAAAGCAAGTGAACAGCATGGGGTTTGTTTATGATCATATGAGGGTGTGGATTTAGAAGCTTTTAGCGTTTGGGAGCGTGTTTCGGATATTTGGTTGGAGGGTGGATTTCTCTCGGCCTCGTAGCTTTCGTTAGAGATGGTAAGGTTGGGGAGTATGAGCAGGGCGAAGTTTTAGGGTTTCTGGAGGGAAAGTGGAATTTGCCATGGACAAAAGGGATGGGCACCTCGTGCAGCGGAAGTATGGGGTGCTGAAAAAGAAAAAAAGAGTGGAAGAAATGAGGCTTGTTCAAGAGCCTTTTCTTCCTGTCGTTGCACCTCGTCACGGGGTGTTGAAGAAGAGGAAGCAGAAGATGGTGGAGGTTGGGCATATTGAGGCGCACCCAATTCCAATTCTTGAATCACCCCCGTCAATTTATGATTCAACCCCAGCCCCAGCCTATGATCTCCCGCGCTCGGGTTTGTTGAAGAAGCGGAAGATGAGGATGGCGAATCCTCCGAGGACCAATCTTGTGCTGAGAGGTATTGCAGTCTGCATTTTAGTGCATCATGGTTTTCTCTTATGATAAGTATGGTAGCTTTAGGATTTTTGAGTGTCTTTGGTCGATTATGAGAGGTGAAGTTGTCATTAATCTGTGGTGTGGAGCAGTGGATGATTCTGCCACGGAATCCGAAGGAGATGGCAATGCGCGCGAGGTAACTGTTGCGACAGCGGCGCCACCCGCAACAGTTCCGAAAAAGGAGGCCCGTGCGAAGGGTGTGTTGAAGTTGAAATCTATTAATCACGAGGGCCTTGTCAAGAATGAATTCACTCCACCTCCTGAGCATCATCCCGTGGTGGAGGTACAGCAGCCAAAAGGTGAGGTTTCGTAGTGCAAAACAAGTGGGCAACATGAGACTGTTAAATATGTTAATTCATTGTATTCGTTATTTGATGTTTGCTTTTTGCTGAACGAATGCTGCATTGAAATCATGTCACGATCATGTATTCGGATGCTAGGTTTACAGTTAATTATAAGTAACTAAGTAAGTAGTCATGGAAATGCAGACGTGAAGCTTCTCGTAGCAATCATTAGGATAAAATAAGAATCACTTAAGATTTGAGTTGAAGTTAATGTCTTAGCGTCGGATACCAAGCTTGTGACGATTGTTGGAAGTTTGGTTGGCGCATTGTAGATGCATTACTTTGAGAGGGGATATAATGGCGTCTCTCCATTTACACAGACTTCTGTTTGGTAGAATAGCAGGACGATGATTTTGGTATTTGAAATACAATTTAAGTGCGTCTTTCCCGTTACCTCCTTCAGTTATACAGTGCATTAAACTGATGCAATATAATCCAACCCTCTGTTGAATAGGTTTAGGTTTTGTATACGGAAGTTTGTGTTAGGATGCTTGGTTGTGAACTCGTTGAGTTGAAGTAGGATTAAAGTAGAAGGATCATCGATATCAGAGAATCATCGTTATTACTTTGGCGGGTGTTCTGTTCTTTCCATTTAGATTTTTTTTGGTGTTGGTGGTTCAGCTGGTGATAGGAGAAAAACAATGATCAAAGAACTTGCAGCATCCTATCGGAACGATTGCCAAACCTACTGCAGGCAGCTTTTGCAATTACAGCGTCAATGGAGAGAGGTCTGTTGCTTACCCACTTATGTAAATTTAGAAGAACTGAGCACCTACTATCGAGCCTGGTTTATAAACCATTTAAGTTTCTGGACTTGAAATATGGTATCATCTCTCAGCCACTTAATGGGCGTAAAGCATCACTGAACACTATTATTTAAGATATACCTGTTTGATCTTGAAATGAATTTCATACCTCTTAGTCCGGTCAATTGAAACGCAGGAAGTATAGAGCCGCATGATTATCATGGATATTGAATTGAAACCAGAAACTGATGCTTCATGATGGCTTGTTATACTAATCAGCAAGAAATACCAATTCTTCCTCAAGCACCAGCAGAAACTGAAAACACTCGAAGGGGATCAGCGTCCAAGAAGGATGGACGTAGAGGAGGCGCAGCTCGCTCCCGTAGATCTAAAAGAAATCATGGTAGTCTTCTTTTTCCTTGTTTTCTGTTTTCCTCCCCTTATTCCTCCTTATCTCTACTCTCAGCAGTGTACCAAATAATCAGATTTTTTTGAATCAGTGCTTCAAAATAGCTGCGAAACCAATGTCTTCTATGTTTTGATCTGATATGCTGACTTGTTCGTTCAGATAATGATGAGGGTCCACTGCAATTGGTAAATGGAAAGATGCCATTACGCAGACGTGTGGGATGGCGAGCTAATGAACGAGAGGCGCTCCGGCGAGGATTGTTGATGTTTGGTTTAGGCAGATCTGAAAAAGTTAGGAGCATCATGCGAACCCTGTTGAAGCTTTCTCGGCATGGTCTTGGTGATATAGCGGACTCATGCTGGGAGTTTGTGAAAGGGTGTGGAGCCTATGCCGAGCCCAAGGAGCGAGAGTACGCAGAGAAACGGTTGCAGGAGGCCTCGGACCATGGAATAGAGATGGGTAAGTGTAGAAAGATCAAATGCGTCCGAGACGAGATATTTTTCTTAAGCTCAGACCTTACTGATACATATTTGCGATCAGCATTGTAGGTTTGTTCCTTTTTAATGATTTTGTTATTTTATCTGAACAATCAGTGGAGGCTTAATCAATCCGCTTTGCAAGTTTGTCTTGATCAGTAAGTAATACTCTGCGAATTTATGTACTCACCACTCGTGACATTCTGTCCTACATTTCTAGTGGGTACCTTGGGATTATTTTCTTCATCCCATGTACAGCATTACCATCGAAGTCATTACACAAATCTATCGATTCATTTTCATTAGATCTGCTTCAGTTGGTAGTTAGTTGTCGCTACGCCCTATGAACTGAGGATTTCCGTAGCTTACGGGATATGCGATCACCCGTCCTTTCTAACATTTTTTTTAATATATTCGTGCGATGGTACTGTTGCAGGGCCAGAAGTTTCCGAGAGAGTGGGCGAGTTTGACAAGGTGGGGAGGAATGGCTCAGTCTGGTTGAAACGGTTGAAGCTCCTGGACAACCTTGCTGATGTGGTTAGGATTTGTGCAAATAAGGAAACTCGAGAGGCTGCATATAGAGCTATTGATAATCTGAGAGATGCCAGCGTCCCTCATGAAGCGTGGGGAAGAGAGGCGGACTTGGCTTTGCTGGCTGGAGTCTACAAGCATGGTTTTGGGAATTATGAATCTTTGCGCAAAGATGAGCAGTTCGTAGAGGCTTTCTCAAAAGTCTTTAGCTTGCCTGTAAGTTGCCGCTTATTTCACCCTGCAGATAGAGTTAATATCAAGCTCTTCAGCCTGGTGCACTCACGGTTGTGATCAACTAGGGTTGTGGTAGTCTTGGATTTGAAAACTTTCTGACTTTACACCGCACACTTCCCTACGTATTATTTCTATATCATTATAGGTTTACGTGAGCGATCATTTGACTCATAGGTTCGATTGCTGACACAAAGTATTGCGTCCAATTACATCTAATGTCTCCGAAAAGCCCCCTCAAATTGCTTCTTCTTGAGTTGAATTAAATAGGGTCTTATTATATGAATTTCTGCTATTCCTGTTAATCTGTTGTTTAGATTGATTATTCCAGTGTTCCTTTTCGGTCTATTGAGTCATTACTCTAGATTCATATAAGCTTTGCAGCCGTATAACTGTAGATCGTTGTGGGACGTAGTAATAGTTAAACAATTGTGCGCTTTGTATATGATTAGTAGATAATTACAGTGTAAATTGGTGGACTCGCTGGTGATATTTGTTGGTGCCATCTTTTGTTTGCTTTAGGATGCTGAAGATAGAAATGGAGATACAGATCCACAATCGTCAAGCAGGTTTGATAGTGGATACCATCCTTCTCACGTGTTATGTTTATTAATCATGTGCTTTTGAAGTTAAGTAACTGACTCTTAAACTATTGCTCAGATTGCATTTTTATGTTCTTTTCTTTTCATGTACTCCGCAGCAGTATCTTTTGTCATGTTGATATCTTCTATTTGTGGTGTTTTAGTGCTATATTTCATATGTGGACGTATAACCTTTAAAGGGCCAAAATAAAAACTAGAAATGAACAACAATTCTGTTTTCATTTATATATACAAAAGAAAAATGGGTCAAGTTTCAGATTATAATATTTTAAAACTACTTAAGTGTCATCAAGTTTTGTATCGTATGTATAAGTTTAAACAAGTTTAGAATGGTCTAGTGTTGAAGAATTATCTTTAACAACATTTGAATATATATATATATATATATATGTATTTTCCAAGTTTGATTTTACAGATAATCTGCGTTTGTCACATCTTCTCTTTTAGAATATACTTATTCCAAAGCATATATGTTCTGCTGAAGACCACTTAGTCTTTTATTTGCACATACCTACCAATGTGTTTGTTGTGCAGAGATAAACCAGATTGGCCAGATGCAAATACTTTGACACGTAGGCTCAAGCGTCTAGTGGATCATATTACCCGAGTTGGTCAACAGGTACATGCTTCCTAAATATCATAGATTGCAGACGTTCCTATTTTTCCAAGTAGTACAGTAGCAGTGGACGCTATAGTTTGCCTCTATTATCTTCAAATGAATCTTCTGATCATGTTCTTGTGCTCCGTGAGATTGGATTGGACCACGTTACTGAACATAATTTGACCTTAACCAAGAGATATCTCTCATTTTGAGGTCTTCTTTTTTATGAACCTTGACTGCATGTAAATGCCGTTCTGTATTGTTTCTAGTAGTGATGCTATCACGTGAAAATACATCACAGTAGTTAAGTTATGTATTTACCTCGACGACTTGATTACCTCAAGTATCATTTACACAGGATGCTTTATTTATTTATTTATTTACTTAATATTGTGCGCAGTTTCATGATGAAGTTGAATTTGTGAAGAATTGAGTATTTTGTAACCTTCACTGTACGCACTGTTTCTTTCACTAGATTCTTACAAAATACTTATATTATACTGTTCCAGGCAAGTAGAGCGCCTAAGGCCTCTGAAACCCCACACGTACCACGATCCCTTAAATGGAGTAAAAGGGACAAGATAGAGTTCTTTCGACAATTGATGCGCTGGGGTCTCCCACTGGTATTATTATTGTACCAATTAAAATTTTCCATTTGCATTCGCCTCCCATGACCATGCCTTCTGTATCGTAGTGAGATGCTTGCCTTTGGACGATTACTAAATCTTGCAAATGCCGAAGAACTGGAAAGTTGAAGTTGAATCATATTGCGGAAGTTTTCAGCTTTCAACGCCACAGCCGCATCAGCCTAACATAATTGCTCGAGGATTGAGGAAGCAAAATTTCGTAAGAATCTAGTGTTGGACAGGCACCAGGGAAAGTAGATTCTTACAAAATACTTTGTGTTGGACAGGCACCAGGGAAAGGCAAAGTTAGGTGGCAACTTCTGATAGAAAGATCGACCAATGCTTCTTTGAAGAAGAGGGATGACAGCGGTCTGGAAGCCTGTTATCGTGATATTTTCAGAGAGATGAAACAGCTCTTGGATGGACCTGAAAGTGGCCAGGAAGATGGGATGGAGAGGTCCAATGGCAAGGCAAGGCACACAGAACTCTACTGCTCCCACATTAAATGGTGGTCAGGGCCTACATGCCACCCACTTGAGTTTATGTTAGCGTCATGTCTGTGTATAACCTTATCACTTGTTTTTATCCATCACTGGGACACCTGTATCTGGAAATTTGTGATATTATGTCAGATGGTCTCATAGTTTTCGTCTTGATTTAGCAGAGAAAGAGGAACGCTACATCAAAGAGGGCTTCTGCTAAGGCTCCAACATTTTCTAATCTTGAGCAATCGGCCTTTAGTCCAAATGTGCCTCAGGATCCAATTGGACCGCCAGTCCTTAACGAGAAAAGCGCGGTGTGTTTCCACAATTGGTACTTGCATATTTTGAAGGATGGAGTTTTTCATTGATTTTAAAATTACCAAAATGAATCAAGGAACAAGTACATTCATGCGGGGTTTTATCCTGGTTGTTTTCGTGTTTGAATAGGTAATACGGTGCTAAGATTTGCTTGCCACTGCTTTTTCAGGTGAGGTTGAAAGAACGATTGGAGCTGCTTGATACTTTGCGGCAAGTGCCAGAGACTCTTCAAGATGAAGATTGGGATACTTTAGGCCTCTCCTTACATCATGGTCATGATATGCCAGCTTGGTGGGAGGCTGGTTACCATGATAATGCATTGGTCAAGGTAGCACCGGGAAGTTCATGATGATTTTGAAGCCATTCCCCTGGTCTTAATGCTTAAATGTATTTGCATCAGTCAAGCAGTCCGTTGTGTTTAATATGATGAATTGGCTTACATATTTCGGGCCTAAATATTTTTTTGCAGGGAGTGCTGGAGTATGGATATGGATCTTGGGATGATATTTTTGCTGATGAAAACTTGGGATTCCCTGATGATATTGGTAACTTATATTCTCTTTTACATCTAATGGATTCTTGTTATCAGCGACCACTCTGAAGAGAGCACGATACCTGTGTGTTTCATGTAGTTTTTGCTCCTGTTCATTGGACTCTTTTTAATAGTTGGTGTACGCCTGCCAATCAGAATTCACCGATAACATTTTCAGCGTAACTGAAAACAATCCGGTATAGATGTTGTTTAGTCGTTGGAAAAGTAGCCCATAGTTTTTGCAGTTAAAAGACTGATTATGTTTGTATTATCTGGTTTAGTTCGAATGGCTTTCTTATCAATTTTTGGTCGGATCTCCATCCTGTATTTGCCTTGTTCTCTACCTTGTTTTCCACCAGATGTTGGATATACAATCTCATTTGGATGAGGTAATGATTTTTTGTGTGACAGTTGTGAGGGACTCCGAAGATGGAGCAGCGGCGTTAGCCAAACCATCTTCTAAGGCATGCATAAAAAGGGTGAAGTTTATTGTGAATAATTTGCGGCGTTATCTACGCAAACTCAAGGTATGAGATTATTTTCTGTGATATTTCTTATGAGAACGTTTCATTTCGATAAAACTTTAGTCTTGATTCTCGTGTTTTTACACCTCAGGTGCAGCAACCGCCTCGGAGGAAAAAGTCAACTCCTGAAGTAAAGGAGCCAAAGGAGGTAAAGCGTTTCAAATATGCTCGTGCAGTGGAGGTTGCTCGGGATTCATCCAGTAAACCTATTTTACCACTGATTTTGACTGACCGTCTGACGCTTACAAACCTTGTAAGACTTTTCGTAAATCCTGCGAAAATTCTGTTTTAAGTTTGTATGAGATCATTGAAATTATCTGAGCCGAGTGGCTGGTTGCACTAGCATCTTAACAAGAATGTTGGTCGCATTGCAACTATGGTTTCCTTGAATTCTGTTGTTAATGATGGGTAATTGTTGCTGCACCACCATAGCATCGCGTTTGATTCAGATGTGATCTTTTATTTTTGAGTTGCAAGACTGATCATGTTTGTCGTCACATAAAACCACTCTTGCTTACTTTGAACTCTGGTTCCTTGACGCTGATCATGAACTACTCTTGCTCAACAGGGAAGAATCGAGCCAGATAGGCCAGGGTTCCACACCGAACGTCATATTTTTCCAATTGGCTTCACCACTCTCCGAGAACATGCCAGCATGATTGACCCAAATGGACGGACAACATATACTTGCACTATTATTGATACTGGAGGTCCTGGGCCTATTTTTCGTGTTTACCCGGAAGATGATCCTAACTTACTGATAGAAAGGGACTCCGCCTCAGGCGCATGGGTTGTTGTATGTGCTCAAGTTAACCAAGTGAGGGGCATTGAACGTGACAAAGTTAGCTCCTTTTCTTCTTCTACTTCTTCTATTTATTTATTTGTTTGTTTATTTTTATTTTGTCCTTTTGTTATTCAGTTTTAGTAGGTTTCGTCTTCTATTCATAGTAAGAGTGATGTCAGAGAACATAGGTTTGTACCATGCTGTAGTGTTTGAGCTTACGAATCTAAGTTTTTGAGACATTTTGCTTGCCCTTCGTGGGACTTGATGATTTAGAATGAGCTGATGTTAACTTTGGGGCTTTTCAGGTCACTGTTAGTGGAACGGACATGTTTGGTCTGTCCCATCCAGAAGTGTGTCGTTTGATTCAAGAGCTGCCTGGAGCAGAACTGTGTAAAAATTTTCGTCCTGAGTTATCCTTTTCAAGATTTGGCACACAAGTGGTAACAAGACCAACTATTGAAGATTCTAGCTTATTACTGGACAGTGTATTGGGTAGGTCTGCTCAATTAGCTCCAGATTCAGATGTGGAGGAAGCGGATGAAGGCGGTAGTTATAGGGATGAAATTCCAACATCAGCTTGGCATGTCAATACAGTTGAACCAAGAACTGGAAAGACCCTCATTCGCCCACCAGCTGACCAATCCTTGGAATATGAAGAGGGAGATGAAGAGGAAGAAGATGAAGAGAATGACGACAATGACGAGGACAACAATGAAGACAACAATGGCTATGGAGAGAGCACAGATGAGGATGACTAATAACGAGTTTCCAAATCAATGGTGAAAACAGGCTCATACCTGGACAGAAAGCTCTGATTTAGGCAGCCGCAAAATCTTTCATACAAGTAGGTTGCCTCAGTGATGAATGACTTGATGAGAGTTTTTGGGTTCATGAATACAAGAGGAAAAGCCTGGATTGAACCACGAACTATATTTGCAGAATAAGGTACCAAAAATGTTACAACTCACTTTCGCTTTTTGTTGCAACTTGTGTGCTCCGTGCTAACTTCCTGTCGATGATCAGATTTGAGATTCTTTCTGCATGTGCTTTGAAACTTGCTTTTACAATTGAGGGCGTTATTACCGACTCCAGACAGGCACTCGATGGTCTTTGATGCCTTCAGATCATGCTCATGTTCGGTATTAAAAACTACTAGGGGTTGTAGTGTACATCTGGCGCTGGGGTAGCTGAATTGTCAAAATGGTGGTAAAAAATTATTTGTGTGAAGGAGAAGCCTGTGTGAGAAATATTGGATGACAAGTTCATGGAAAAAGGAATATGAAAACCAGTATTATGCATGGTCGCTATAAACCTCCAATTCCAAGGGCTTCCATTCATTACAACCCTGCTCTTCTGGAAATGCGATCTTCAAACTTAGTGTGAAAGTTAACAATCCTATAAGTGATAAATTTTTTAATATCATTACAGAAATTTATTTCTATGCAGTATTTCTCATCCATCATGTGGAAAACATTTTATTGCAAAGATGTGAAAGTTTTAGATGATGAAAGTGTACTAAGACAAAACAAGTAGAAAAAATACATATTTAAAGAGTAGTTGGTTATTTATCAATCATAATTATCAGCTACTTTTAATCAAAATTTTCTCTGCATGTTCTCTTTTAGAACCTTTATAATTTGATGCATTAATCAAGTTCTATCTTTGTAGAGAAATAGGTTAAATATAGTGCAAGCAATTGTAAATATCAAGAAAGCTTATTAGTAATGTACAAGAATTATTCTTGTTCATGTATATAACATCAAAATATTCACAATTCATTATAAATTTTTAACAAAGCAATTTAATTCATATCATTTTAAAATAACTAAAAAAATCAATTTTTATACGCTACTAAAAAGTATTAAACAAAATTACTTTCAGCAATTAATTTTAATTATGGTATCATAAAAAGAATCTCTCTAGGTAAAATCTCACCCATGCAAAACATATATAAATTAAAAAGAAATTCAATTACAACCAACATATTAAAAATGCTTTAATATTACAACTTAGGATTTAAGGATTAAAGGGATTTCTAATCATTCCAAAAATCAATGTGAAATTATACATTTATAAAAGCTATGCTAGTTTTTGTGTATGTATACAACTATGTAAGATTAAAGTAGCTGCAAATGCAATTGTAACCAATACTTTTTTTTTTTTTTTAAGAATATATATATATATATATATATATATATATATGTATGGAGTTATATTGAATGTGGATTGCCATAGAAGTCCATAAAAAAATTTAAAAGTCTCAATAGAAGATTTTAAATCTTCTATTTAAATTTCTAAAAGCCTCAATAGTGATAGCACTAATCAAAATTATTGGAAAGAGATTATTTTATCTTAAATTTTAACCGACAATAAGTGGTGAAAAAAATCCCTCTTCTATTATTATATAAATTTTTGATACAAGAATTGTATATTCTAATTGAGAGATTTAACTTTTGATCCTAAGATAGTTTAGAATCTAGATATAATAATCAAACTTTGTATACTTTGTATTCCAATGGGGATTTATTTAAAAAATATTCTAAACAAATTCAAGCCAATTGTTTTATAAATAGGAACTAAAGTAGGCTAAGTACTTAAAAAAGATTGCAACAACATATGTTTGAAATAACAAAAAAATTCCAAGAATTGTAAGACCACATTGTAATTTAATTTAGATGGATCTAAGAACTTAATGTGATAGTTGTAAATTTGATTATAAAAAATATAAATAAAACCATCTAGATAGGTGATAACTACTTATTAATATATTATAAATTCTACTTTGCAATTAACTATAGAATTAAAGAATTCTTGTCTATAATTAAATTTAAATAAATTAAACAAAAAAATAAAAATACAAATGAGCTTAGGCATAGACTTGAATTAGGAAGATAGATGTATATAGTAATATTGTTAAAATCCTAAAAAAAATAATTATAATAAAAAATAGAAAAATAGTAATCAATAAAAAAATTCTAATTAGCCATCAATAAATGATCTAGCTTTCTATTGAAGATATTTTCATCTAAAACAAAATTTTATGACATCCTAAATTATTTATTAATAGATCTCCAAACCATAAATAATGCCAAAATAATTATTTGTAATAAAGATCATATAACAAAAATAATTGCACCTATTTATTATAATAATAATAGGTAAAGACACCACTATGGCTAATTTTACACCATCTAATATGTAAATGAAGTGCATTGCAAAAGAAAATGTATATAAATATAATAGATTAGATCTTAAATCATAATTAATTTTATAAAAATAGTTAATTTTTTATACATAAGATGTTCCTAATATATATATATATATATATATATATATATATATATATATATATATATATATATATATATATATATATATATATATATATATATATATATATATATATGACAATTTTACTTGATTTACCTTAGTTATACAAACAAAGGTGATTGAAACTTCAATTATTTGTTTTTCTGATAATTCATAGTTAGATGAAGAAATCTAAGCTTAAAATTAATGTTTATTTTTTTGTATAATTATTTTAAAATAATATAATAGGAATATCTACTACAAAAGAATTATTCAAAGAAGTAATTACGAGATGAACAATGCAAATATATTCTAATAATGAATTCTACAAAAAATCAAACTATAAGTATGATACAAACTATGCAAATGACTTATTCAATTCAAACCTAATTCAAGATGCATTAGCCAATACACTTTGTCTTAATACAATAATCCTTATTATTAATTTATAATAAATATTAATGTAAATAGTAGCAATTTTTATTTAAACTAGAATTAATAAATTTAATTTTTTTGAGAGATTGATTTCTAAAGAATACATATAATACAATCTTATTTTTTCTAATGAAAATGTGAAAGAAATAATTTATTATAATTCTAATATATGCATTTATAGATACAAGATATCCAATGAAACAACAAAAAGATGCAACCACAACTTGACTTCTTTAGACATATAATAAAACAAAGTAAATGTTAATCAAAGAAAAAATTTGAATATTCCAACCTAATTATTAAAAAATACCTATAACAGCAACATAGTGACAATACATGTTTTAAGTATTAAACAAACAAATATTACAACAAAGACAATATTTTCAATAATATTAAATGAATCCAATATATTTGTGCATTATATGATGGAAAAGAAACTCACTTATAATCCTTATTTCTTTAGGCTAGCATCAACATAAGTAATTACTATTAAAAAATACATTATAAGATTAAGACTAATATACTTTTATGTTGCATGTTAAGTAACCAAGGCTTGTTTTATATAATACAAAGAGTGAGCCTAACAAAAAATAGAGCCACTTTTAATTAGTTAAGAATTATTATAAGATGTTATTTTGGATGCTACTACAACACAATAAGTTTCCAAATAACTCCTTCAAAACAACATTATTACTTTAGTTTCAATTAACTTTGAGTAGTATAAAAATATTTATAGCAAGAATTTTTTTTTTTTTTTTTTTTTTTTTTATGGTGCATAATAAGGTAGAAAAAATTATTCCAAAGTTTGGTTTGCAAGTTAGATTCTTCCAGGAGAAATTTGGCCCTTACTAAATATTCATATTAATCCAATGTAGATCAAAATTCCAGCCAAATTCTTTAAACCTTTATTTAAATGGTTTTTCTTATTATTTAATATCACCTTAAATTAAAAACCTTTCTAATTTCATCAATTAAAGAGTTATATCTTTATCTTAAATTAATAATCAATAAAAGCACACCATAAAAATAATATGATATAGATAGTACTAAAGATCTCTTCAAGTCTCCATCTCTAAAAATTTTAAATCACAAGATTTGTAGTAGAAGAACCTAAGCTATTAGAATCATATTATGATCCAAAATTAGCTTTTATAAGTTCAAATAAAAATAAAATTAGATGTATATGATTTTTAGTAAACATCATATAGAATATATAATAGGTAGTGAAGATTATTTGATAGACAACATAAAATTGTAAGCTACTTTTAAAGACTTTTCTAGCAAACTAAGTAAGTATTAAATATTAAATATCCAAAAAGTAATATATATATATATATATATATATTTATATGTTTTTATTCTATATTAGAAAATTTATGATTGAGTAATATAGCTTGAATATTTAGCAATGAAAAACTACTTTTTAATAACTTTTCTTATAAAATTAATTTTTTTGTTACATAATATGATTAGATTAAATAATTAATTTAATATTATTAAATTAAAAAATTAAATTTTAAGCATATTTCTAAGATTTCTAATATATATATATATATACATCAAGTATTTAGAAATTTATTATAAATCACTTATAGACAATATAATCATGTAGATTATTTTTAAAGGCATAAAAAGTAATTTATTAGGTCTAGTTGATATTCGTGCATCCAATTTAAGTATGAAAGAAGTAAGATGTGGTTGTAATTATTAAACATGATACCAAATAATATTTTATTAATTTTAGAAAGAAATTATATTATAGTTGAAAAAAATATAATTAATTTAGGTTTATTTTGAAGGTTTTAAATATTTATTAAAATTTTAAATCCAATTTTTAAAATATATTCTTTTAAGTAAAATTTATATAAATCCAAAATTCATTTATTCAATATGAACAATAGAAACTTAACAATCAATAAATTAGAAAATTTAATAAATGAAGAAGCTTTAGAGATAAATATCCTAAAAAAATATTTTAATTTAATAAAAATAAGATGTCATAATTGACATTGAAAATAATAAGAATATTTTAAAAATATTTTTATTTTGTTTGCCATTAGAAAAAACATAATAGATTTTTTAACCACCTATAAAATTTTAGAAAATAAAGATATATTCTTTATTATATATATTCTAAATAAAGATATATTTTAAAATAAAGATATATTCTTTATTAAATATAAAATAAAGATATATTCTTTATTAAATATAAAATAAAGATAT